CGGCTCTGCCAGGCTGGTGTGAGCGCAGCGTGAGTCTCTAGCTCGCCCTCTGCTTCCCTGGCGCTCCTCTCCGCTCGCCCCGCTCAAGTGTCTTGGGCTGAGGTCTTCCCAGTGCTGAGTAGCAAGGAGAGCTCGTGTTGTCTCTTACAGGCTCTGTCTCTGCCCGTTTATCCCAGTGTAACAGTTGTTTTTTTCCCAACGTGGACACATTTTTCCGCCTGCAGTTTCCTACGGTCTGAATCTTTTCCCTGCAGAACTCTCTTGCTGTCGGGGCTGCCTGTCCAGTGTTTGGGGGGGTCATTTGTCTTGGCAAGCTTACCATCTTCCTCTGGTCCCCACTGAACGAGACCTTTTCGTCAATTTTTGTCAGCATCATTTTGAATTCCTCTCTTCTAGCTGTATCTCTCCCAGCTCTGCGTTGTTTTAACAAGTACCCTGAATGTTCTTAACCTTTTTCCCTAAAGAAAGTCATCAACACGACCAAACTAGGGCAAAGTCTTTGGGGACCCCCACCGCAAGTATTCATGCTCACAAAGCTCTCACATTAAGTAAGTGTTGTCAGGGCTGGGGTGTATTAAAAGGCAAACAGATTTTTTAATTATTATTATTTTAAGGAACTTTTTGGGTGAATTAATCTTCAGGAAAAAAAAGTGAAAGCTAAATATGCATGTGATTATTAATTTTGAGACATCTAAGTGATGAGTGTTTAACAGGTTTATGCTTGGATTTGTTTCCATTAGTTTACTGGACAAAATACTCTTTTTTTTCTTTTTTTTTGCTAAACCTATGTGTTTACTTTTTCAGTGGGATATTCTGCAGTTGCTCTTAATCATGTCATCGATTTTAAAGAAAAGAAACAGGTAATTTTTGTGGGGGTTGTTTGTTCTTAGTGTTTTTTACCTACATGCCTTATTACGTGTTCTCAAATAGCTTTTTCTGCAGAATGCACATCTGGACGCAAGTACAAATGTCTGCATTTGTGACAGAATTCCCATTTTTTAATTCAGTATAATTGCCCTGGAGTTAACTTTTAATACGGTCAGTGTATTGTCCCTGGGAAATGGTTTTGTTAGCATGGCAAATTTCTTTTCAGGATTGGAACACAGCTGTTGTTTACACTATAAACTTAATACATGACATTTTGAATAACTTTATTTTGTTCTCTTTTAAGGAAATTGTCAAGCCAGTGTCTCCTTCAGAGTTGTTTCCATCTTTGCCTATTGTGCAAGTATGTCTAGTTATATTCTATCTATGTATTATTATTCTCAGTTATGTTTTTTACCTTGGTGTGTTTGTATATTTGATTTTGTGTATTACATGGTAATCAAAAAAGAGAAATTTGTCCATTGCTCAATTGTTAAAAACTCCTAGCACTGGAGGAACGGTACAGTCACGTTAGAGTCGGCTCTATTCATTATTTGTTCATTGTCTGTTATTTCTTTTTTGTAGGGGACATCTAAAAGAATTAGAGTCTTAACCCGGCTAACACTTGTTGTTTCTGATCCTTCCCACTGCAATCTCTTGGCAAGTATATTTAGTACATTAATTGTCCAATTTTATTTCCTTTTCTCAATGAATGAATGAAACTTTGGAAATTGTATGGGGAGAACTTCATGGATTTTATAGGACACTCAGCAGTGATGTGTCAGATTACATTTTCAGCAAATAATGTGATCATGAAGAGATGCAGACTTACAAGACTGCATATGGCTTCTGTTGATCATTTGTCAATGTGGGACAACAGTTCTATCCCTCGGTTCTTTTCTTTGATTCCTGGACTTCTGTGCGTAAACTAGAAGACCTTTAGCGAGCCTTGTGTCTGTTTATGCTTTAGTACTACATGATTGAAGCAAAATGTCTAAGTGCCTTACTAGGTGGGTGGGACAAGCCTCAAAATGAGAATGAATGACTTCACAGTATGGCTCACAGCGGAGACCTAGTATGTAATGCGATGATTGTTGGTTTTGTTTTAGTACTTGAAAGTGAAAAAGGGATTTTCTTCTCATTAGTTTGGTTGCAATCATTGTGCATAGCTTTGACATCTGCCAGAATTCAGGGTAGTAATTGTTTCCTCTTTTGTAGAGATCAACATCTGCAAATATAAGGTTATATGACATCATAGCAGTATTTCCGAAGACAGAGAAACTGTTCCATGTAAGTACAATCATCTGATTGGTAATGCTCATTCACTAACTTTAAGTGCCTTGGGCTAGATTGAGTACCTGCTTTGTTTTATTTATTTCCTGTTTTATACAGGCCTGTATGTCATGGGCCTAATTAAGCAACATAGGCTGCCTCATCAGTTGACAGACTGAGAAGGTTGGGAGGGGTTGCAGGAGGCTGCAAGGCTTTGAGGTTACTGGTTAAAGTCTGAAACATCTACCTGATGAATGGGGTTGTATGCCCCTATGCTGTGCTTTCCTTTGTGTGTCTTGTACTCTACTGAGTACTCCTCTCTAGTGAGGAGAGAAAACATGCTTTTTTTTTCCATATATATATTCTATCAGCATGTAGAAAACTTCTGTCTTGAACTTTAACTTTTCAAACTCTGACAGCTTCCCCAAAACACATTTACTATCTTCTGTTAGCACAGGAGAGACATGGACCTGCTGGAGCGGGGCCAGAGGAGGCCCCAGCAATGCTCCGAGGGCTGGAACAGCTCTGCTGGGAGAGCTGTGGGGGCTCAGCCTGGAGCAGAGAAGGCTCCAGGGAGACCTTACTGTAGCTGCCAGGGCTGAGAGGGGGCTTGGAAGAAAGATGGGGACAGACTTTTTAGCAGGGCCCATAGCGACAGGACAAGGAAGAAATGTTTTATGATGAGGGTGGTGAACCCCTGGCCCAGGTTGCCCAGAGAGGTGGTCAATGCCCCATCCCTGGAAAACATCCCAGGTCAGGTTGGATGGGCCTCTGAGCAACCTGCTCTAGTTGGAGATGTCCCTGCTTATGGCAGGGGGGTTGGACTAGATGGCCTTGAAAGGTCCTTTCCAACCCAAATTATTCTATAATTCTTATGATTCTAATTGTTCCTGCTCTCTAAAATGGCAGGGAAAGTGGGAGGATTTTTAAGTGGGACTAATGCGGTTCTGCGAGTTACCACTTTCTTTTTAGTCTTAGGTCTTCTCTTGGAAGTTCATCCAGATGAATAGCTGATCTCTTTTTCTTTAATTTTTCCTTTTATTTCTTTATTTTAAATCAAAACGGGAGCAAGACTTTACAAGATAGAGCTATCTCTGGTTGTTATAGCATCTTATGAACAGTAAAATAAAATTTCCAAAAGCAAACACACCTGACTAAACATTAACGGCCCTTGCTCCATTGCCAGGCTGAGATTTCTGGTTTTGTTTCGAGTGTTTTGGATGCTCAAGCTGAGTGAGAGAAGCTACACTCCTGTGACTTCATGATATGTTTGTTACTTTGCCTGCTGAGAAAACCATGGAGGCTGTACAAAAGTAGAGCAGCCTCGGTAGAAATAGTTGAAGGGCAGACGGTCATTTTCTTGCTCAGATTTTATACTGGCTGTTCAGAGCAAGCTTGCAACTGAAAACTGCCTCCACAAAATTTGTCTTTGAAGATGTTGCTGTATCAGTGTTACCAAACAGATGCTGGCATTTGTAGCAGTAGTAGCTCTTGAAGTGTGCTAGTGAGAGAAAATAGTGTGTATGAATAACTTTCGAAACCTTAGTTGGGACTAATTTATGACCTTAGCCCAATCCTGTTGTTTCTCACATCGGTTTATGTTAATAGAAGTGCAAATGTTTTGCACAAAAAACCCAGTACTCTGGTACTTCTATGATTTTAGGAAAACAAGGTATTGCAGGTGTGTTTGACCATCAGCTGGTTCCATCCATTTCTGATGTTTGACTGAAGACATTTGTTGTTTAGACATGATACCTAAGTACAGTGATGTGCAGTAATTCTTCAGCCGTTACTAACAGTGCAAAGCATCATATTGTCTTCCAACTTTTATCCATAGTTGCTATATCTTCAATAGACCCTTCCTACATTCCTAGTTTTAAAACACCATCTGAGGCAGAATGATCTCAGCTTGGCTTGTTGGGTGATAGGTGTTTGTTATCTCTGTCTCTCTCATATTTTTAATTAAATTGTTCTCAAATACTTGGTAACAGCTGCTGTGAGTGATCTGATAGAGTGGAACATCCAGAAGCTAGTCATCTTTTTGTGAGAACGTTTTTTGTTGCAAAACCCAAAATTGTGGCATCTGACCTGTTGCAAGCACATAAATAATAACATTAACTCTGAACTGTAAGAGTAGGTGGAAGTGTCCTGTCTCTGTTAGCCTTGGCAGGCAGCAAGCAGGCGTGCAGTTTAAAGCAGTGTGAAGAAGGCACAAGGACACCAAAAGCAAATGTGAGTCTCTTTGGAGAAGTGCCAGAATTTACTTTCAAAGAGAGCTTGTCAGTATAAAACTGAGTCTGTTTTTTTGGTTTGGTTTGGTTTTAAATAAGTTAAAGCTACTTTCTAGTACTGCTGAGTGCCTGTTTTGACACATTAAAATTGTATTCTTCTGTTTTGTTTTTCTAAATTATTTGTTCTCCTTTTTGAAAACTTCTCCACGTAAAGTACAAAGTAAGAGGCTGTAGAAGAAGGTGAACTTTAAAGAATGTTTCAGCAGAAGAATTCAAGCATTAATTATGACAATTACAGCTTAATGAGACTCATTTCTGACTTTTTATTTCCCTTGTAAGATTTTAGGACTCATGGGAGTGTGAGGGAGGTGCATAGTTGTAAAATACTTCTGAGGGCCACTCTCCACCTCTTTCTTTTGGTGTCTGGCAACAATGTAAAATCTTACTTCTCAAGTGAGCTCAATCAATTTATCACAAGTTTAAACAAGCACATGAAGACAGGTAATCAGCAGGGGCATACTGTGTTGTTTTGGGGGGAAAGGGCTCTCTTATTTAAGGGTGGGTATTTTTTTATTTTCAGCTCTATCGTGAGTTCTGCTGCAGTTGGACGTCCAGCTACAGCACTGTTTAAGATGGCATAAACAGCCACTCATTTCTGCAGGTCCCTGTCCTGCTGGTGAAGCTGCTTGCTTAGCTGCATGGCAGTTTAGTTTGAGGAACATGCTTTTGTAAAGTAACCAGAGTTTTTGCCAAGTTATTTTGCAGTCAGATCCACTGTCCTGCTCTGATTCAGCATTCAGCCACGTGGATAATCCTGTCGGCACAAAGAGGATGGCTGTGCTCTAGGCAGGGCAATGCAGATAGCCACTGTTTAAGCTGACACTCTCACAGGTGATGGGCAGTGTTTTAGGAAGGAAGCAGGACTGTCAATGAAATAGTCTTCATTGCTTCCATGCTGGCAGCACTTTGAGCTGGTGAGGGAACCCAAGAGTGTTTCTTGCAAACTATATGAGGTGAAGGACTTCATCCTTACATGTTTACATTCAGGGCAAGTTTGGATGTTTGTCTTTTGTTTAAAGATTTTAGGTTTTCTGACTCTCTGTGGAGACCTGTGTCAGTTTTGTAGAGGTACCAACAGAGAGTCTGGTGCAAGTAATGTTATACATGGAGTTTCAGCGTATACCTCTGTCTGTTAAGACTCATGGATCTTTCACTGTTAAGGATGAAGCTGCTTAGGGTGGGTCTTGCACCATGAATTAACTTTATATTTTAAAATTGGCTGTTGGTAACTCAACATCACCTCGAGAGCGTCATCTTTCTTGCCAACGGTTTGGCACTTGGATTATTCTCCACAGAACAGCATTTTTTCATGCTTTTGTAAAAGAAATACATGACCATTGGAGATGAGCTCTAATTTTAGCATGGCCCAAAACTAGTTCTGTGCCCTCTTGTCATGAGCCAGGGAAGCTTTTCTGTGACTGTGTGGCAGTGATATGCACTGAAAGATGTGCTCAAATTCTCCAAATAATTTATATCCTCAAAGGTATGAGGGAGCGGTGTTTGCCAGGATAATTGTAGAACATGCTCCTTCATTAAGTCTCCCAAGAGGGTTG